GTTGATTGAAAAGCAGCAAAGAAAAATGTAGCAATGTCCACGTGATAGAACCTAAATTGCCTTTTTACTCCAGCTAAAAACCACTCCCAAAGCTTTAAAAAACATCAATAACACTATTAATATAACTTGATATTCAGCGTTTATTCACATTAGTAATTAAAATAATAATTTGTATTTCTATGGATTATTGAGAAAACTTGGGTACTCCAGAAATACGTGTACCAAGATGACGGACAACGGAAGATAGTATGTGTACCAGGTTAGGCCATACTTTTAGGTACAAATACTACGAAACTCACTTGGTTAGTCCCTGAACTCGTAATAGAACTAAAATAAGGACATTTTGGCAACAACAACAACATTTCATTGCTTTTCCAGCGTATGGAGGGCTTCAAATACTGGTACCTCCAACATGTGATATACCATATTAGACCAAACATCTGTCAGCCCCCCGCTTTAAGTGTGAGATAAAAGTCTTCAAAATGTTCTACTATATCATACGTATAAATTTTTCGTGGCGTGAAACACTTTTTAGAGTTAGACCATCGGGTCTAATATAAACTAACATTTGCGATCAGACCTGCTAGGTGTTTTGGTCTAACTTGCCAATTAAAGATTTCAGACCCCCCCCTTCAAACTTTTCAGCTATGCCCGTAGGGCCTCACCCTAAATATTGAATGGATCGCCAAAAGATTTTCAGTTTAAAAGATGCATATTTTGCAGGTCGCGAGGCTGGGAATTCATCGGTGCTCTAGTTGATTGAAAAGCAGCAAAGAAAAAGAAATATGTAGCAATGTCCACGTGATAGAACCTAAATTGCCTTTTTACTCCAGCTAAAAACCACTCCAGAAGCCTTAAAAAACATCAATAACACTATTAATATAACTTGATATTCAGTGTTTATTCACATTAGTAATTAAAATAATAATTTGTATTCCTATGGATTATTGAGAAAAAAAAATGGGTACTCCAGAAATACGTGTACCAAGATGACGGACAACGGAAGATAGTATGTGTACCAGGTTAGGCCATACTTTTAGGTACAAATACTGCGAAACTCACTTGGTTAGTCCCTGAACTCGTAATAGAACTAAAATAAGGACATTTTGGCTTAACCCTAACGTGGTACACATACTACGTTCCGGTGTCCTCCTTTCTTGGTACGCATACTTCAGGAGTACGGAAACTTGACTGTAATCACATACATCTTAATCTTCGTTCTAGCTGCTGTGTTTCTTCAATTGGTTTCGTATTCCATGAGTGCTATTGTCCAACTTGTTGTTATTATTTTGGCTGCAGTACTTTGCGTATACATTTGCTCAAATTTTTTGAATATTTTCTCAAGTAGTGTTGTTACATCTTGACATTCAGTTGTTACATTGTTTAATAGGTATTCGCTCATGAATGATTTGAAATTACTTTTCTTTTATATCAAGTGTCGGATGTTTAATGATGTGATGATGGAAATAAATTTCAGCTGCTTGCATGTGTTGAGATAGCCTTTGTATAATCATTGACTCTTAAAAAAGTTATTTATAGATTGGTTTGATTCATTTCTTGAGCAGAGCCTTGTGTTTCTAGGCTGCATTATTAACAGAAATTGCTGCTCTACCTATGCATTCCAGATTGTTGTCACATTCACAAAAGCTGCAGTGCGCAAATCACTGGCCCTTCGTTTCGTTCGACGCCGTTGAATTCTTTCTCATAATCATCACAGCAAATTTTTTACGTTTACTCATTTTATCTCTTATGAAGTTTCAGATCTAAACTAAATTCAAAGTTTAAATTAATTGGTATATTCCTTTATAAGGTTAAAAATAAGGACACACGTCAAAATAAAGATGTTTCTTAGAAATAAGGACAAAAACATTTCCTAACACAAAGACCTTCAAAATAAGGACAAATTCTAAAAATAAGGACATTGTGGCAGCCCTGATTATAGGTCAAGTGGAGAAAAAACTTCTGTGAAAGCTACAATACTTGAGATGGAGTGAGACCAAAATGCTGTGCTACTAAGCGTTTTTTTTTCTATATAAGGTGCAAAGTATTCATTTTCGTCACCACTTTACCTACATCTGACTGACATTTTTTGCAATGCATCGCATTTTTGATGCCTTGCTTTCTTTCGACAAGGAAGTTGTCACATCATCCTGGTTATTTGCAAGACAGACTGTGTCTTCATTTTTATCGAATTTCTTCGTCCTTCAGCAAATATTTCGATCAGTCATCAATGAACAGGGCTAGTTTTCGAGCTGTGATGCAGGAGCGTCGTCGTCGTTAAGCATCTAGTCTAAACAAAACCAACCGTGACGCCCGCCACTTGGAGATGCAACATTGCCTTTGTTTGTTTATTATACGGCGAGCGGAGTGGGACATCTAGTAGTAGTATATATTTACGGTCTAGCAGACTGCTAACGTAATTATTTCACGGTTCGGTGGTTCGCGCGAAATTTCCAATTCAGCCTATCAATACACAGCAATGGACCACATATCGAGGAGGTCTGAAAGTTGGCTGTACCGCTTTTGCTCCATTGTTTCGTCATGCTATTAGAGAAATCGCTGTTACTCGCGTTGATCGAAAGTGTACGTGGATTAATCTATTTGCTCTAGTCAGGCAGATCTAAAACTGTTCTCATCTCGTTGGTTTCGGCATGTATTCGAGGGAGCTAAGTGGTCCACGTTTGACTTTTCCGAATCATATCGTCTAGCTCTAGCTGGACTGGTTGGATAGACATGTTAATAGTAAATTTACATTGCGGAAATGAGTCATAAATATTCTACTGAGATTAGAAAAATATTAGGAATAAATTGATACAAGGACTGTCAATAATACCAATACATATATACATATACAGCAAAGAATTTGGTCTAATAATCAGGCCTAATAAGCGCAATTCACTTTATTATGATGCGTAAGTTACGATAAATATTATAATACACTTACAGGACTCTTGGAACAGCTTCGAGAATATACTTCGATCTTTCTATCGCCTCGTTACTTGAAAGTCCACGATCCAAGCTAAAAATATATGAAACATTTAGTTAGGAACTGGAAAAAAATGAATACGTTTTTAATAATATTCAGAATCCATTTTTAGAATCGAAATAGCTATGACAGGAAGAAACGCAACATATAGGAGGTACTTACCACTTGTTTACATGGGCTTGCCATGTTTTACTCTGCATTTTCATTGCCTTTTCGATTTTAACTTCTTTGTGGCGATTGTCTTCCACTTGCTTATGAAGCTGACGCTTGTTCTCCGACCTGATTTTTTCAAGCTCAAACTTGCGTTCTTTCTTGGTGCTCTTTTTCATCCCTTCTGTCTTCCATCCTTTGCAGATTAATCTTCTCCTCTATTAATAGAAATATTTGAAATAAGTCAATGTCACTAAGTACCACTGCTCTATATGTCTTTGCGCAGGTAGATCCGCATGCGTATAACGCAGAGATGGTCAAAACGTCGATCGCGTGTGATGTTGCGTAAATTTATTAACATAGCCTAGAAAATTGCCTTGAACCGGTTTCATACTGCACCTGTTGTGTGTTTTAAAACAGAAAGAGTACAATACTGTACATGCGCAAAATACGATATACACATGCAGTATTTGGGTATAAACAAGCCCGATAGAGCATATTATTACGTAACAAATGCAAGTTTCCATACTGCCAAGTTTTAGAAATAAACTTGTGTGTCTTGACTGACAAACGATGCGACAATAATTTCTGCACTGTGCGAAAGTTACTGTCTCACTCCAAGAGTAGTGTGATAAATTTTATTCACAACGGCAGCACAACTAGTAGCTCTGGTTCAATTTTCTAAACACATTTTTAGATTTTGACAAAATCTCAGAGAGCTATCGGTCACGGGTTTTGGCATCTTGTTTGACGGAATCGTTATAGTCAATATCACTTGTTCTTTCAAATTTGATAACTTCCGTATATTCCCATTACCTTGAAAACGTCCGTTTTTTACTGAGTGATAATAATAAATGGCAGGTGTATATTCCCATTATCATGGTACTTAGTGACATTTACCTTTGTTTCAAATATTTCTATCAATAGAAGAGAAGATTTTAAACTGCAAATGATGGAAGACAGAAGAGAAGAAAAAGAGCACTAGAACAAGAGAATAGACGGCGAGAGAAAGAAAAGTTAAAACGAGAAGAAGAAGGTGATCGAAGGACAGAGAGAGAGAAAAAACGCAAGTTTGAGCTTGAAAAAATCGAGTTGGAGAACCAGCGTCAGCTTGATAAGCAAAAGGAAGATAATCGCCACAAAAAAGCAAAGCTACAAATAGCAATGAAAATGCAGAGTGACACATGGCAAGCACACGTAAACCAGTGGTAGGTACTCCATAAATGTTGTGTTTCTTCCTGTCACAAGTATTTCGATCCAAAAAATGAATCTTGAATATTAATAAAAACGTATTTATTTTGTGCCTGTCCCTAACTAAATGTTTGCATATATTTTAGCTTGGAGAGTGGACTCACAGCCAACGAAGACCTAGAAAAATCTAGTTATCTTCTTGTAGTTAGGAACGATTTCCTTGTGAGTGTTTTACAATACCCTAAATTAAGCACTATTTTATTTTATATATTAGGTGGGGCGGGGCCAGTACCCCCTCCTACCCCACCCCGCAAGAGGTGTCCCCCCTCTTTTACATTTTAAACTCTCACGACGCACTAACCCTCGAGCCCACCGGATTTTTCTTAAATTTACACTAGGTATCAAATCTCGCAAATTGGCTCATTCATGGCTAAAACCTGTTTCTTTCAACATGCTCTGATCCTAAAACGTAGGTTAACTTAGAATAGGATAGGATTTACATATTCATCCTCCATGACAAGAAAGCCGATAAGACAACTTAATCATATGGCAAACCACGGTCTTTCGTCCGGTTACCAGTCCATGTAAGATATGGGATTAGTTAGTGTTAGCCAGTTAATTGTTTTCGGAAGCATGGACTTGATGATGGAGGAATCCGTAACCAAAGCGTATATATAATACGGCCGTAAGCCCGTAACCGACCCGCGGGTACCTTGCGGTGACGAGCGTATTCCCAACGCTTAGCACGATGCGCCTGGCCGAGTGACCTTTTTCTCCATGCGATACAATCTGGAAATGCTCAATTATGTTGAAGCAAAGAACGAAAGTCAAAAGTAAGTAAAACTTTGCGAATTAAAAGTGAAACCGAAGTACCCTAATAAGTTGAGTGTACCAGAATTTGTCGGCTCTAGTGGTCGGATCTGGAATATGTTTTGACTCCGTGTGGCAGTGCAATTCTTTGATCAAGTTTTCTCTGCTTTCAGCTGTGTTTCTTTGGCGCAAAAAGGCTTTAGAAAACATATAACGTTACATATATCTCACGGACTGGGAACATCGGAATTGAACATGGCTGACACTCTGGAATGGATATTTCAGGAGCTATTAGTACAAAATATTGTCTTATTTTTGGTCGGTGCAATATTATTTGGTGCGTCATTGTTTGTACAGAAATTCGGTCTTCTTTATCAATTTTTTCACAAGGTAAGTAATCAGTAGTTTATTTTCTCACCATAAATGAAATACAGAATGTAAAAAGAATCAAAAAAGAGTTGATGTAAGGCAAATATCACTATCAGAGAGGTTACGGTATAGGATACAAGAGACTTCAGGCAGTCAGGACTTAGAGGTGAGATTTGGCCCAAAAATTCCAGCCCGATCCAGGCCCGTGGGTATGGTACCGGTATTAAACCCGACTAATAAACTGGATTTGCAGGCCTGAGCCCGGAGCAAACCCGAAATTTTATTCAGGAGTTCATTGAATTGTCATTGCAAGAGTTTAGTACAGTACGGTACCTACTGCAGTAGTCTATGTCAGTACCGGTACGGTATGTGTCGTGTTGATGAGGCAACAGAATTCTGGGTCCAGGGGTCAGCTCGGGCTTCAGATCTTAGCTCTAACGAGACTAACTCCCAATCTTTCCTCATTGCCTTTGTGCTAGTGGATCCATATTCCTGTATTTATATAATGCAATAATGCTGTAGCAGGAATAAAATATTATACTATGCAATTCAAGAGTCTCTGCCGAACACTGACTTGGTAACACTAATGTATTGCTGTATCGTTCCATCTCACTAAAATCATTCCTCTGACAAGCAGTTTACAACAATGACAAGAACAGAACAATCATGCATAGTACAATAGTATGGTATTTTATTCCTGCTGCAGAATTATTATATGAGAAGTATTTTCAAATTGAAATAGATAGCATTATGAAAATATGGAGCTAGCTATTGCTATCTATATTACGGAAGAATACATCCATCACAATTGCGGCTCCTTTTTCAGAATAAAAAATCTAAGCCAAGTTTAGTGGTAACTTGGTTTTTACTCGATTTTATACCACTTAGTTGATATCTGTTTTGTATCTATTCTGATTTGCGTTTGTTTTTGACGCTTGAAATTTGTCTCTAATACTGAATAATGGAGAACCACTGCTCTACAGTTTTTGCATCTTTTTTCCCCCATAATCAGTATGAAAATTGTGTCTGAATATAAAAATTGTTATTCATGTTTTTTGTTCATTTTGCCTTTCAAAGTATTTCAATATGTTTACAGGTGGAAAAGGAATCCAAGCGGCACGGTGGGGAACTTGTAGCCCAGGTTTTGAAAGATCATGGAACGCAATTCCTTTTTACACTCGTGGGAGGTCACATCTCACCCATTCTAGTAGCTGCGGAGAAATTGGGAATTAGAGTCGTCGATACGAGACATGAAGTAACAACCGTGTTTGCAGCAGATGCTGTTGCTAGATTATCAGGTTCTGATTAAATTATAAGATAAGAATAAATTTTGTGATTGCATGATTGTGATTGAGTTTTTAATATAACGGTAGTTCAAATGGTTGCAATTCCAAACCTTTTGCGTTGCAAGGAATATACCAGAGTAAAATTTATTATGCTCTTACACCTAGCTTTTGTGATGCGAACAATGTGATTGACAAAGCTGTCACTTGCTGAGCAGCGAGCAATTTAGGGAAAGTACTGGGCAGACGCTAATGAATAAGTAAAAATGGTAGTTTTCTTCAGAAATTTATGCGTCTCGATTTATCATTTCGATTTATCGTCACAAGATCAATATCAAAAAGAAACTAGTTTTTCGTGCCTACAATTCTGCAACTACTAGAAAGTCTATGTTGAATAAAGGTGCAGCTCACGGTTTCGCTCAGTTATTGTTTTGTGAATAACTTCGTCTTTGCTATTTTTTAACTTTTAAGTAAAATTGCAAATGTAATTTAATTATGTTGTTATGTATTATCTTTTTCTTCAATTTATCAAGGCCGCATTGGTGTAGCTGCAGTAACCGCTGGACCGGGCCTCACTAACACTGTGACCGCTGTCAAGAATGCACAAATGGCTGAATCACCTATTCTCCTTATTGGAGGTGCAGCACCTACATTGCTCAAAGGTAACTAGACTTGAGTCAGTAGGCTACTCAATATATCTTAAATTCCCTTTTATAAAATTTTAAGATTTATGAACATATATAATTTGCACATTCATTAATGGATTTTGTACTTATAATGAGGGGATGTATATTATGACTTGATTTAGAAAATGTTCGATTCAATTAAAAAAAAATCTTCTTAGTTTCATTAATTTTGAATAATTTTGTTTTTAAACAGGCCGAGGAGCTCTTCAAGATATTGATCAAATGAGTTTGTTCAAACCTCTTTGCAAGTTTTGTGCTCGAGTCACACGGATACGAGATATTGTACCAACTGTAAGGCAGGCGATAGCTTGTGCTCAGTCTGGAACTCCTGGTATGTGTATATTGTTAATAATTAGTTAATAAAGTAAAGTATTTTTATGAGAAATTATTAAGCAATGCCACGCATCTATAGTAATTAATTGCATAGGTAACTGAATATGTGTTCACCCAGAATATGTGAATATGTGTCGGTGGTTCACCATATGATTGATTCATGCTACTATAGTGCAAGTTGTACATATCTGACATTTACGGATTGAAAATCTTGCAACTGAGTTGATTATGACTTTGAATTCACTGCTTTAGCAATAATATTTAAATTTTGATATTTGATTCTGCTTCTTACAACTGCTCTTCGATTCTGGCTTTCACATTTTTCTTTCACACACAGCAAATAACTGGCGTTAGAAATACACTTGGCCATCACACTTCTGATTACCCAGCGTAGGTTGCTCCACTTTTCACTGCCGCAGGGTGGTTACCATTGGTCGGTTTTTGCTTCCTCCACCATGAAGTACATGCATCTGAAATAAATAATCCTATTCCTGAATTAGGCTGGTGAACGGGCGAGAGATCTGGGCATGCCATAGTATTAAGCTGAGTCTGAGCAGCTTTCTCCCCTGGGATACTGGTCATAGCATTACAAAAATTTTTTTTTTGCAGGCCCAGTTTTCATCGAGTTTCCTATTGATGTTTTGTATCCATATGATTTGGTGAAGCGTGAACTGGCATCCAGTGGGGGATCAGGTGAATTGATTCATGTATTTAGTATTATGATTAAATCTCAGAAATATTTTTTATGAATAATTTTAGAATTTTGATTTATACAAATGCAGAGTATAACCTATTTCTTTGTAATTGCTTTTTTTATTATGAATTCAGAAGTAGAATATAATTCGTCCTCTAAATTAGTATTGATTTTCAATAATTGAATTGTCAGGTTTTTGCAGCACTTTTACTTCATAAAAGTTTACTTGAGTAGTAATTTCACTATGGAAATGAAAATTGGCAATTTTGTGAAACATCTTGTATATCTTGATAATTTTTTTTCTGGACTAGATTCTTTATATATTCACACCTAAATTTACAGTGGTTCACCAATGGTGAGACGAGCTTCACAAGGAGCATGAAGATAATTCAAAATAAAAAGTTTTTGTTAGATTTGATCTTTCCTGCCTCATTTTGTATATTTAAATTTTCTTTATTTTGGTTCCATCCACGTACTCTCAATGTGTGTTTCAAATAAAACATACTTTCGCCTTACTATCTGTTATTTGTAGCTGATTGTTAGCTAGTTGTTTTTGAGGTGGGAAGAACCACTGGTTTAGATTATTCGGTTGTTCACTCATCCACATTATTATTACAGCAACAGGACCAAAATCCCTCCAGCAAAGAATAGTGCAATGGTATCTCAATAATCATCTCTGCAATTTATTCGCTGGAGCATTCGAACCTCGCGATACCAGTCCTATTCCGATTCATTTTCCAAGAGCATCACAGGATCAGGTAATGCAGTGTCTTCATGGTGGTGTGTAATAAATCAGGCAGGAAATGCTGAATAGCTTGTTTGGAGTGAAGACAAAAGGAAAAAGTGCCTGTCATTAGGGATGATAATGTCTGTATACATTACTCAAAATTCTATATTCATAATGTGTTTAGTAGAGCATCTTTCATTCATCTTTCAAGGACGTGAACAATCCCAAATGTGAAAGTTATGCAGCTTGATCTAATGATTATATTCCATTCTTTTCCAAATAGGTTCATATCAATTCCATGTCAAAATTGATAAGATTATTTGATTTCAAGATTGATTTTAAATATTATACATTAACTCATAATAAAGTAATGATTCGGGAATAGTCGGAGAGCACGCTGAGAAACATTTGTTTGTTTTTTTCAGATCCAAAGTTGCATAGAGCTTGTGAGCAGAGCAAAGAAACCAGTGTTTGTTCTTGGAAGTCAAGCTACATTACCTCCAGTGGCAGCTGATGACCTGAGAAGTGCTTTGGAGCAAATGGGAATTCCTTGCTTCCTGGGTGAGTAGAACGAGAGCTGTACTTTCTGGGTGGAACTTTATGCGTGAATAACTTATTTGAAACAAAGTGTTTGTAGGTAAATTCAGTTTGAGGATATTTTTTCTGGTTCAGGATAAGTTTTTTAACAAACTTAGGCAAAGTTTTGAAGTAAAGTTGAAAAGTCAGATTCATAAAAAAAATTGATGATCATTGCTTAAGATATTTTCAAATCATACCGACCTATACAGTTTTAGGTGTGTTGTCCAAAAGGTTCCAACTGATCCTCCAGCCATACAAATAACCCAACATCAACCCTAGAATCCAACCCCAGCTCTATGATAACAAAGACTTTGTCAGTTGTAACTTTGATTGAATACTTTTGTGAGTATTTATATAATGATATATGTTGATAGGTATCTGTCTGTCTGTTTGTCTGTCTGTTAGATGCACGCGATATCTCACGAAGGCGTGGTTGTATTCGCTCCAAATTTTGCATGTGCATTCATCATAACTCGGACCAGAAGATTTTGGATGAATTACGTCGTATAATTAGCGAGTTATTAATTAATTAGTGATGGGACACGCGGTGTCACTATAGGGTCATGAATCGAAACCGCAGTTTCGATCGATAAGTCTTCGGTCTCCGACCGATATTCTTGTTTTCTCATTGCTAGAAAATGAGAGTATTTCGAATTTTTTTTAAAGTCGCGTAGAAATTATAGGATTATGGAATATAACTAATTCCAAATACATACAAATATTTTTGATTTGTGTACCCATGCACTACAACAAAACCCTTATTTTATCTTCCATTAGGTGGAATGTGCAGAGGTTTGCTTGGAAGAAACTCACCGATACATATTCGCCAGAACAGAAGAGCAGCTTTGAAGGTTGGTCGGTCTATTTTCTACTTCATTCTTTATGCCATGTTTTAGGGTTTTTCACTGCGGACAATGCTAAATAAAAACAGCCGCAGATGCGGGCACTAGGCAGCGATATTTTTGATATAGAAGAATCTTTCAGGTTTAGCCTTGTCTAAGAATTTTATTATACCCCGATGTGGTAGAAGACATAGATTTTAATAATTGAGCCTGATACAAATATGTCATATGTTCGAATACATTTATTCAACAAATATGTAGACCTCAGTCTTTTACACTAAACAAAGCACTGTGTATTGTGGAGTGTCTAGAGGGGCCAAAGAGACAGCACGTTATATGGGGTTAGTTTGTTGCTTAGCTTGATGATTTAGTTTATAATATAACGAATGTTTTACTCTCATTTGCCTTTATTTATTTTCATGTATAATAACATCTACTATTTGTTTATCCCCAAATTATTTTTAAAATTTGTGTAAAGGGCATCATTATCAGAAACTCGCCTCGGGCAGCAGGAAAGTTTGACACGCCAGTACACCACTGTCTTTACACTGTTTTTTTTTTGTTCACTTTCATGTATGAAGTTACCATATTTTAAAAAGACTGGAATATTCTATGTTCATTATTGCCTACATTCTGCATATTGCACCCTGGTGTGGTGGCGGTCATGGGATTTGAACAATTGAACTTGATACAAATGTTTCGAACACATCCCTGTTAACAAATATGTCTGTAACTCTTAGCATGGCTGTGGTGACTATTCTATCAGTATGTTTCTAATAATGCTCATATAAAAAAAATTGAATAATTTGTGGTTATCTAATGCACAGTAATGATTCTGAGTTAGTCAGATTGTTTCAGTCTGACTCACCATCTCTCCTCTATAATCATTGCAGCAATATTGTACAAGTCTTTGATTACATCATGTGATATATCTAGAAAACTTTTTAAATAAATCATAATTTATCTTAGAGTTATAGAAAAAAATCTTGATTGTCCACTGTCCAGCCATATAAATATAAACATTTAAAATTTCAAAACTCCTTATCATGAGCACGGCTATCGGAGTTCCATTTTAGTTTGAACCACAAAGCAGAACAATGGGTACTCCCGTAGTATGTGTACCAGCAGGGGCGCAGCCAGGATTTTTCCAACGGGGGTTACGGTGAAATTTGAACCTCACACCAAAAGTGCTATTCACAACGACGTAATAATGCGTTTAATAAACTAAAACACCGAATAATAAGTATTGTCATTTTAAACATTAATTTGGATGTTGACCGCCGAAACAATCGCTGTGACAATAAATTTTTTTTTCTCGGATTTTACTACAGACTGAAAACTCTGTAACAATGCGGCGTTTTTTATTTCACAATTTTGTCATAATCGAAGGCTGCAGTAAATTTTCTGTCACCGCGATTGTTTCGGCGGCCTACATTCCAATTAATGTTGTTAAGTTATATTAAAGCACTTTTTTAATCAAATATTAATTCTCACCCAACGGTGGATATCGTAGTTTGGTGTTTTTTTTTTTTATTCTGGACAGAATTGCGGGTTCACATCGGCGAACTATTAAGGAGTGCATTCACAACACAAATCATTTTTATCTTCTGTGTAGGATTTGTATCACAGTTTGTAAATTACGGGTCCTAATTTTAAGCGAACAATATTATCATTACTGACCCCGGGATGCGATATTTGTGAACTGTTGACATTTTTATGCTTTTAATTTTAGATTGTGTTTGTGGTACTTTCGTATTGAATAATATTTAATAGCTCTGCAAATTGGTAATCTCTTGAATACCCAGTGTTGAGTATTCACGTAACTCAGCTTTGGGTTAAATCACTGATACTAAACACATGGTTAAATCGGCAATAATGGCATTTCTACGGGGTCAAAATAATATATATTTTTTCCCAATTTCTCGAGAAATTCCCATAAAATACATTATTTACCTGTCTTGCTTATCTGGTTCGACATTTCTAAATTCACAAAAACGGTGTTGACACGCTTCATGCGCAAAATTAGGAATTGAAAAATATGACCCAAAGACGCAAGAAAATTTTTTTTTCACATTTATCGTTTCTACCGGTTAGCAATAGCCGTCGGTAAATTCTTACCCTTAACTCGTTGTAAATTAATGTTAATAAATTCTATTTTGCTTTTCATTGCGCGTGCTTTGTATTAAAATAAAAGTGAAGTCAGGAAGAGGAGGTCCTCAAATTAGCTTATGACCCTTCTCTTCTTTTGAGCGCCCATTACGGCGATTAAATCATTTCATTTCCGTTTCTTGGAGAGAAGTGAAAATATGCCTTCCGGAATTGCAATCAACAATTACAAATTCTTATTTATCCTTATCAGCGCTAACTAAAAAAGATAACATATCTTGAAGACAGAAAAAGTCTGTAGGTGTTAATTGCGTTACAGTGAATAATAGAATAATATTGCTTGGACCGCTAAACCATGATGCACAATTGTAAAACTAAGCCCTTGCTTTTTTGTAGATGAAATTCAAATCAAAAATTTTTTTTCAAACTGGGGGGTTACGGCCCCTGTAACCCCCCCGCTGGCTGCGCCTCCGTGTACCAGGTTAGGTTTAGGCCAGGGTGGTCCAAGGATGTCGCCTTCGCGGGCCACAAATTTATTTTTTTATTGTTCGCGGGCCACGAAATGTAGTATCAGAAATAGGTAAACTGGGCAATACGACTAATCAATATTTGTCATTTATCAAAATTAAACATGCAAAATACGCCTGAAAAATCACTGAAACATACAAAAGTTTTTCAATATCTACATTTAGTGTAAGATCTCAAATTCTTCACAACGGAGAAAGTGCTCCTGCAAATGTAAGTGCTCTCGAACATCGATCGGGTTCTCAATGCAAAATTCCTCAAAATTTTAAAATGCTTATTGGCTCACATGATAGCAAAATGCCGTTTAAGATTATATTTGCCATTACTGCAAATTGATTGATTATCAAATTTTACTAAATGTAAGGTACAAAAGCTCAATTACTAATTTTACTGACAGAATAGAAGCATACTTTCTAATACTGTTTAGGCTGGTTGCAGAAAATCACTCGAAGGAACTATATTCTCAGGTCATAACATTAATATTTTGTTGTTATAACTGTTGGAATATATTCCCAACCAAAAAGATAGAAAGCCAGTGAACAATTTGGAATACCCAAGCACACTATGCAACTTCGATAGTTGCTTCAGCAAGTCGTGACACTAGATTCTGTGATATTTTTATGACGAAACAACCCCAAATGCAATTTTTGATTACCCTACAGCAAAGGCAGATAATGACTGTGGCCTGCAGGCCTGGGTTTGAACCACCCTGGTTTAGGCCATCATTTTATTCTTATTTTCCTTATTTTAGTTCTATTATGAGTTAGGGGACTGTCTGTGTTAACCAAGTGAATATACTCCCTGCCCATAAGTTTCAGTCCATTTATACAAAATTAGTTACCTACATATTGGTACACATACTTCTGGAGCGCCGTTATGCTCTATATTTTTCCTCATCAAAATATATACATGGTGGCAATCATGCACCATTTGTGGAAGCAGATTCTTGCACATTTCAAATTACATAAAATGCCACACTTTTTTGTTTTTCTTGTACAATCATTGAAATTAACCATTCACTTTTTAATCACAGGAGGCGGACCTTGTCATCTTAGCAGGAGCAGTTGCTGACTTCAGACTCGGGTACGGAAAAGTTTTGCCAAAGAGAGGAAAAATTATTGCTGTCAATAGAAATAAGGTGATGTTTAAACTGAGGGCTTGAGAATTAGAAATATTTTATTTAAATACCATGGTCTTATGTCTTCATATCTCACATTAATCGAATACCTGATTCATTGATTTTCTCAATTATGAGTTAAAATCTCGAATTCTTCGAAGTCAGAGCTGAAATTTCAAACTTTTTATTACTTACTGAATAAATACTCTTCACAGTGATGATCAAAATCCCAACTTAACTAAAGAAAAACGTTACGTTGACTTGGCGTTTCTTTGCAGCTTATCAAAAACGGTTTCATGCGCCAATGTTTTTTAAACCCAAATTTGATTTCATAGTTGGAGTCAAATTCCCATTACCATTGAGGAATGGAAGTCAGAATTTTTCTTAACTCTTAACAGTGTTTGAGTCGAAAGATTTTTCAATCAAGACTTATAGCCAAATGTAAATTTGAAATTCTTCAAGCTGTAAAAAAATTCAAGGCTATAATTCAACTTCATTTTTGTCTCCCAGGATCAATTATACAAGAACTCTGACATGTTCTGGCGTCCCACCCTTGCAATACAGGCAGATCCAGCTACTGTCATTCTGGCAATCGCAGAAGGGTTGAAGGAAGGATTCAAATGTCCAAAGGACTGGCCTGAAAAACTGAAGAAGGGTGAGATATACAGGAGGGTAGCAGAGTTCTAATCAAATTCAATCTAGATAAGTTGTATATTTAATAATAATTATTTATTAATACTTATTATTAATAATTTAGAATATGATATAATTGTGATGTTTTGCACTAGATAATAAGTGGTATAATTTTGCTTTTATTATCATTCGTGTCCCCTTCCAATGACTCTCTTCTCTTGAAAAATGAATTATATTGCTTTTAATGCTTTTCTATCAGTTATTTTATAGAGCACACTCACAGTCAATTTACTGTCAAAAATAATATAGTCATCACGAATGTTAACCCAATAAAGGTTCCCCATGTGGTGGGTCCCCAAAAAGACAGGGTCCAGTTTGAGAAACTCTGGATTAACTTTAAACCCATTTATCAGGTGATGATGAGAAGGAAGCCACAAACTTGAAGAAAGCTGAAGATTCAACCGATGTTCATTTGAATCCACTGAAGGTGAGTGCATTAATCTAGCAATAGGATGAAAGTAGGGTTTGTTTTAATACCAGCGGTCCTAAACTTTTTCTTCATGCAATCCAATTGTATATGAGTTACACAATACTGTTAATCTATGCGGTGCACTTAGCAACTTTTGAGAACCGCTAGCCCATAGTATCCGTGAGGGTATCTTTTTATGAATTCGCTCCCAGCAAGGTCTGCATAATGGGTTTCCAAGGAGTATTGGAGCGACCACCTACTCATGAGAGCTATAGGTTTAACATAGTGAATATCTTTTGTGGAATGGATTCATTCTGACCTGTTGGTTCACACTTTCCTTTGAATGAATCAATTTGATAGATTCGCCATATGCTTGAAACAAATAGGCCTTTCTTTCCCCAGGATATATATGAATATTCTGCCCTATTCTTCAGACAGAAAGTTCATCAGAAAGAGCCCATTCTAATAAACTTTTTTGACAACGATATTCACGAATCGCAAATCATGCAATATTTTTCTTTGACGTTATTTTGAGATAAATCAGTCATTCTGATGTGATGTATTTCCTGCGAACTTAATCATTACTGATTTCATAATAGCACAGCTGATTTTTAATTGATTGCTCAAAGAAATACTGAACATACCATATTATAATAGCTCTGTCTTAAATTGGAGTATTATCTTTGCTGTTTTGGCATATACTGTGCTTGTACCCTGTATAAGCAGTCATAAGTCACAGATTTTTCATAAGCTAACGTTTTTAGAGTCTTTCTGAAGAGATGATGGGATTTACGTCTATATTTTAGAAACCCGCTGCCTTGAAATCAAGAATCACATGCAAAATTTTCCAAAAAATCAAAACTGATTTATATTAAATATTTGGATGCTTGGACCAGTGATGTCCAAAACGAATCAGATATCCAGAACAATTCTTTATGGAATGAGCGAAAAAGCTTTCATTTTATTTCTGAAAACTATAACAGTAGACCCATCAGATCTATGATTATCTAAACTTTGCTGCATTTATGAGTTTCAAGTCCATTGATTATAATCGAGTCTATTCTATGTCTCTTTTCTATTTTATGACGTGATAGTATTAGTGGTTCCCAACAGAGCAGTTGAAGGGGGGCCACCATGCCAGCCGCAAAACTGATTTACTTTTCCTTTTACTTTTTAACTCCTCATTCTTCTTAGTCTAATTGCTTGATAAGGTTATTTTCACAGGGTGTTTTTACTATATTGATCATGAATTGTTTAAAACAATTGGATTTGGACCAATCTACCAATCAAAATACCGCTACAAAAACCACTCGGATGATAAACGGGGGCCGTGAGTGCTTGAAGCCTTCAGAAAGTGGGCCACGAGCCATAAAAGATGGAGCGAAAGCCTCAATAATGAAGCACCATATAAAACACTGAAGTATATGGGGTGTCCATGAAGTCGTAAAATTTTTAGAAATTGCAAAGGGAATTTATCAATGATCATAAATTGTTTTGACCCTCACAGATGTGTTAAATGAAATAAAATTTAATTAAACAATTACTGATTAAAATAACAAATCTGGTTAGGATATATTGAGAACTGACTTCAAAACAGAATTGAAGTTGTAAAGGGACTTTCTGCCATTTATATTCCATATTCGAAAATTCTGATGGAAATTGTTTTCATGCTCTCATTTGTGTTGCAGGTTCTCCATGAATTAGAAGACATTCTACCTGAAGACAGCATTCTTGTTGCTGATGGGGGCGACTTTGTTGGATCTGCTGCTTATATTGTCAGACCTAGAGGTCCATTGAGGCAAGTTTTACTCATGTTAGTTATATTCCACCCCATATGACAAACAGCTTTTGTTGTTACTTGGGTACTCCTGTAGTGTGTGTACCAGGTTAGGTTTAGGCTATTATTTTATTCCGATATTCCTTATTTTAGTTCTATTACAAGTTCGGGGACTGTCTGTGTTAGCCAAGTGAGAATTCCCCCTGCCCATAGGCTTTCGTCCCTTTACACAACTTGATGTAAAGTAGACATACGAAATTAGTTACCTCCATATTGGTACACACACACCCTTCTGGAGCGCCTGTAATTGTACTCCTGGCAACTGTATTGTCTTCTCGAATGCTGAACATGACAAGTAGGGTGTGATGTAATTGCTATGGGTGACTGAACACAGCCGATCAGCTTTGAACATGGTTTTACTATTAGGTCTCTGAGTAAAGTACTTAGGTATAGGGGTCAGTTCCTTTAGTGTGTATTTGTCTAATAATCATTAAGTAAAGTGAATTCCTCAAACTGAAAATTGCTCAAATGAGAAGTTTAAAAACAAATAACTAATCACATACCCGACATGGTCTGATAACCAGACAAGAGGCTGCTGTGGTTCACCATATGATTGAGCCTCTTTTCGGGATAAATGTATAAAATCCATAATATGCTAGAAACCTTAAGCAAGCTTCATCAGCCCTGATCAATTTGCTTGCCACAACCAATGTTGGTTTAGCATGGATTTATTTTTTCGATTTTGGTAATCACGACCCTTTTATTACTCATTTTAGATGGTAAAATGGTTTTAGGTGGTGAATCAAGATTGCGGACACCGGAGCATAGTATTGTGTACCAGGTTAAGGTTAGGCTATAATTTCAGGTACAAATACTACGGGAGTCACTTGGCTAGTGGCTAGTCCCAAACTCTTGATAGCACTAAAATAAGGGAAAATGGAATAAAATTATGGCCTAACCCTAACTAAGACCTGGTGTCCGCTAACTAGGTTCACATATTTTCAGTGTACCATAAAATATATATGTAATAACCATAAGCATTTATTTCACTCATTTTAGATGGTTAGATCCAGGTGCATTTGGTACGCTTGGGGTGGGAGGAGGTTTTGCTCTCGGTGCAAAGCTTGTTCGTCCAGAATCAGAGGTTTGGATCATTTATGGAGATGGTTCGCTAGGATACAGTGTCGCTGAGTTTGATACTTTCACAAGACACAAGGTTTGTTAAGAATTTTTGGTATATTATAGACTTCACCACTAGGAGGAGTTGTTGAGCAAGATGGTTCAGGTTAAGCAGATTGGCATACAAACATGATTTACTGAAAAAATAGGCAGACAAGTCTTGCAGAATTCTATGTGATATAATATGCTTTTGATTAAAATCAAATAACTTGTGTGACGTATATCGGGCACAGGATGCAGGGAATAATTAAAAGTAATTTCCTTGATTGATCCATATGTTGCGAAGAAAAGCGGGTTCTTTTTAATACCGACAAAATTTTGCGAAATGATCTATAGGTTGACTTCTTGTCAAATAATTTTAATTGTTTTTCCTTTCAGCTCCCTGTGATTGCCTTGGTTGGGAATGATGCTTGTTGGACTCAAATATCTCGGGATCAGGTTCCGATATTTGGAAGCAATGTTGCATGTGGACTGTTATTCACAGGTGGGGAAATTGGTTCTGATTCAATAAAGTTGAATGAGATGTGAGATACACAGCACGTTTACTACAAAACAAGAGTATTAAAATTCGACCCGGACTCAAATAAAGAAACAGAAACTCAAAACACTAATATCTTTGTATATTTTGTTGTATTGGGTGATGACCTTCCGAGTTGTTTGATTTATACCTGATTTTGGGAACACCACTAAAACTGACAAGTAGTACACTAAACCTTGGAAGCTACTCATTATCTGCAACCATTCTTATAAATATGCATGTGTAAAAGCCGAAATGTTAGTTATTGTAAACCTTACCATACTCAAAATGGAACCATAATAGAATATTGTGTTCTGTAACTGGTAACTGTCTCTGCGCTAAATTGTTCCAGATGCATGAGTTCGAAGGAAGCCATATCATACTAGTGGCTAAATATTATTCCAACGAGTTTCAAACATATTGATTAACTTTTGCAGGGTAATGCTAAACTGTATTTCATTACTACATATTTCTTTATTTCAGAGTATGAAAAGGTTGCTATTGGTTACGGAGGTCAAGGTTTACCACTAGGTCGTGGCGATGACATCAGAGCAACATTGACTAAAGCGCAGGAAATATGCAAAGAAGAAGAGAAACCTGTGCTCGTGAATGCATTGATTGGCAAAACTAATTTCCGAGAAGGTTCAATCTCTGTGTGAAAAGATATGGATGATTGGTTTTTAGAATAATTGAACCATGACTGATTTCAATCAAATATTTATCTCAACTATGCCGCTATATATTGAATATATTACTATTATTATCAGGGTACATGATCTCGGTATTGTAATCCCAATCAAAAAAAATTATGTCTGTGTGTTTCTAAACCTTCAAATCGGAAACCATGAAATATGGGACCTCATGATACAACAGACTGCTTGATTAAATTACAATTTAAACTGTGTAACTGAAATATGGGACTTTATAAAAAATTGAACCTGATAATCTACATCAGGGGTCGGGAACCCATGGCTCGCGAGCCATATATGGCTCTTTTGGTGACGGCATATGGCTCCCAGAAAAATCTAATATTCTAAGACTAAGCTTACTATTGTTACGAGATTTCAAACACTTTTATAGCCAATTTTGGCAGGAAATTCCCAATACGTTTGAGAACGCGCGCCCAGCACATGTCTATGTTACGTAAGATTATGACCGACAGGCATTGTGACAAACAAGGGGATTCTGGAAACATATATTGTGACATCACAAAGCGATAGAGTTTTAAAAACACTACGGAGATGCCTAAACGAAAAAGGGTGATGAGTATCGTAGATTTCAACTTGGGCTGCAAGTGAGCAACCGTTCAAGGCCCGCAGCGACTACATGCAGCATCAGAAATCACATTAAATGTATATTGACATTGTATGTGTTGACTTTTGAGTAAACATTTCAGGCCTGATTAAGTGAAGAAATGTTATATGGCTCGCACGGAAATGCAATTGAAAATATGTATATTTTATGGCTCTCTTGACCAAAAAGGTTCCCGACCCCTGATCTACATCTACTCGTGTAATAACGTTCCAGTGAAATGATTTTTAAATTCTCTGTCCTATTATTTTTCAAATTTAGGGCTCGTTGAATGAAGCTTCAGTCTATCAACCATGTGAGTTTTGAATTCACGCTTCATGATTGTAAATATGTCCCAAATGGTTGGCACATTCCAGTCATTACTTATGCAATTATCCAATTTTACAGTGTTCCATTTGTATATGTGTTTTGTATGCAGCTACTTTATTAGCAATTTTATGTTGTTCAAATCCCAGTCAAAATGCTCCCTAAAAACGTCTCACCTGAAATTTTCTTAAACTACCCATTTTGCGCGCCCTTGTAGCAATTTTATGTTGTTCAAATCTTGGTCAAAATGCTCCAAAAACGTCTCGTCTAGAATTTTCTTAAGTACAGATTTTGTGAACCCTTGATGCATTCGCACACCACAGTATCAATTCTCAACATAAAGTACTTGAGCCATGGGCCAAGTCCTATGTGAATTTCTTCCGATTCAATTCACTTGTTGACCATGATCTGATACGCCAACTCTATTTTAATGTATAAACTATGGTATGCTAACTATGTTATTTTCTTTCGATAATGATCACTTGCTTGATGAATCATTTTTTTTGTGTTTTCAAGATTTATACCCAATTGTTAATTTGTCCAATAAATGTCAACAAGCTTTGTATTGATCATTACTGCATGAAGCACTCTCTTTTTTTCACGCCTATGGACCTCAAATTTGACATGGGCTGGCAACCGAACAGGAGATTATGGTGGTTGGTCAGTTCTTATTGGCTTTTCTCTCCCTGGTATAAAAATGTTACCTCAGATAAATAGAATTGGAGAATATTCCAGAATCCTGCCTTACAAAGTCCACAAATATTGCCAGCCTACGAATATTATTAGTGGCCAAGATCCCGGGAATATTTATAGGCTTTGCGCAAAGATTAATCAATATAACATAAGTTGAATATTAAATTTGGAGTTGTTAAAATACAGCACCGAACCATAATTGAGTCAGCCATCGTATGTATAAAAAATTTATAGTTAAGGATTTTGGCTACAATGGCCGGACTAACCTGGACCGGATATGACCCGTCAATTACTGGTTACATCCACGGGTGTCTGGAGCTGGTATCACCCGTACACTTGTGTAAGTACTTGTGTGTGAACCAAGATGGCGGACACCGTAACGTAGTATGTGTACCAGGTTTAGGTTCGGCCATAATTTTATTTCGATTTTTCTTTTTTTAGTTCTATTAGGAGTTCAGGGATTAGCCAGGTGACTCCCATAATATTTGTACTTGAAATCATGGCCTAACCTGGTACACATACTATGTTCCGGTGTCCGCCATCTTGGTTCACACACTTTAGGAGTACTCAATTCTTGGCAGCATAACCCTATACATGTTCCCCGAATGAAATCACAAAAATCAGTTACGAAGAATAGATATAATTACGAAAAACTCTTCTACAACTTATATTAACGATATATATACCAACAAAGAAATGTATATGAAGGGGATGGCGAGCCTTTTTTATGAACGAATCAAAAATTACATGCTTTTACGCACATATTAATTATCAAGAATGTTTGGAATTCAAAAAAGATTGATTACCAGTTACCACTCGCACAGAATTGCGGATATTATATTAACGATATATATACCAACAAAGAAATGTATATGAAGGGGATGGCGAGCCTTTTTTATGAACGAATCAAAAATTACATGCTTTTACGCACATATTAATTATCAAGAATGTTTGGAATTCAAAAAAGATTGATTACCAGTTACCACTCGCACAGAATTGCGGACTCCAACAGTATTAACGTCCCTAACATCTTTCTCTGTTATAATTTCAAGTTTCTGTATTATTTTAATTAATTCTTATTAATCTTTCAGTATGGATGTTTTTCCGACCCTTGACCCCAGAATATTACTTCCCATACTTCACCATTGGTAAGTATTTTACGCCTATTTTGAGTGTGTTTTGAAGAATTAGCGTTCATAAACTGGTTTACGTCTTCCAAATCATCATTTTTATTATCGGTAGACATAATACAAATTGTCGTATTTGATTACAACTAATTTTGGGAAACGCAACTGAAATATGACAAACACCACATAAAACCCTGAAAACAGGCAATGTTTACGGCCATGCTAAAATATTTGTCTGGTCGAGTGAACTGATTTCAATTATTACGACAGTGTTAACTTATTGCTTGATTGGCCATTAGTATGGAAATAAACAAGGAAATCGATGCTTGGTGAAATATCCATAGTAGTTAGTATCTGTAGTTATGGTGGTCCAGTTATTGTCAGACTAGATTGGGAAAATTTTATTTTTAGTTGGTTCGCCATCCCTGATATGTAATTATAAAACATGATTAACTCTTTGAACTCTGAATCCCCAGAACGATGCTACTCTCTCACCCTGACCTCCCACGGCGTCGCATCGATTTGGCGCGTTAAAAAATTGTAATATCCCTAATTTCAAATCAAAATAACTTCTAAACCATTACATATCAGATGGTCTGTAATATGTCATATAAAAGCTTATCTAGTCTTTTATTTTTAACTGGCATTATTTTTCACGAGATGTTTTGATGAGATGTGTAAGCCTATTTTTAGCCCCATCTACTATTTTTTTGTATTTTGGGTATATTAAATACATTTTTTAGAAATGTAACATCAATATAAGTAAAATTTTGAAAAGTAGACAGAATTACCTTTCGAAGAATATACGGATGACTTTCTTAACATACGCATAACTCATTTTATTGCAGAATTTGTACTATCGATTCAAATGGTTTGCGAACGAAATTGATCAACTATTTTGACGCCAAGTTTGCGTAAGGACGCAAAGGGCGACGACGACATTGTCGTGATAACGTGCGTAACTCCTTGCGTGAGGTATATTGCGCAATTGCACATCTGGTCGTTCACAGCTTGAGTGCAGATTGTGTCATCATTGCATCAGTATCATATCCTCGGCCGCAGATAAAACCTATTCAGACGAATTTTGATTGAACATAGTAAAATTGCTAGAATATAAAGGCCATTTTATATACGTTTACTATTTGGATATGGGACGCCATTGAATGGCCAAAACGAAATATTTGATCCTCATGCATTTATGAGGTTCCGCCGGAAACATCAAGGCTAATTATTCACCGTTGGATATCATGAAGATTGAATAAAAAAAAAACTGATAACGGGTACACGGAAGATATGGTGGCACCAGTAGCACACCTGGTCAGTGTTTTACAGTTTGCGGCCTCATTAGATTTTCGAAATTACTGCATATACGCTACATTCCTGATATTGCTATATTTTCAATGAATTTTAAACGAAAGCTTTGTCCAGATAAAATATTGGATAGTATTCATCTATCGGAAGAAGAAAATATGGCACAATAAAACTCAGCAATGTCGCTAAACAATGCATCCATCGATATGTTCCATCATTCCGTTTTTAGAAATCCTTATTTTTGCTATTCGTATTTTTCATATCTTTATGCAATTGAAACGGAAATAACACTGCGTATTGTGTGATTTAGTCGAACCGATTTTGAGGCTGGATGTAATACGTAAATTTCCCCGTGTATCGTTTACAAGTCGTTAGTCGCTTCACGAGTACGAACTTAAGTAAATGACGTTACGAGCATGCGAGGAAAAGTGTTTCCCGTATGAAACGTAAACGTGCTACGTGCCAACGTAATTGCTTAACGTCGCTGCGTAACGGCGGAAATGTGTTAGGTCGTTATTTATGTCACCTTGACGTCGCCTCGATCTTGCGACAAACAAAATCACGAATAAAAATGCTTCTAAAATTTGAATGGTGCAACATAAGTTCAATCTAATGGTATCACTGGAAAGCTATCTTCAAATTCTACAAATTTTGTCGATAATGTACTAAGTTTAATCGAAAACAAATTGAAGTTTTGTCAATTAGATTTGAGCAATTTTCAGAAATTTTTATGCTTTTTAATTTTGCCAATTTTCATAAGATTATCACAATATTTTATCTCAATTTTAAAATTATACTTAGTCCTGTAGATTATCTTTCACACGATGTAAATTTGTCTAAATATAATAAATGGTTCGCGAGATATGAGGTTTCAAAGTTGCATACCTCTTACGGGATGCGAAAGCCGCTAAAGCGGCTTTCAGCGTCAGAAGACTTTCTCGGGAAAGCCGCTATAGCGGCTTTCAGGGTTCAAAGAGTTAATATCAAATAAGCAGCCTGTTACACTATAAATTGCTGAATTGTATATCTATTTTTTTTTTCAACTGTTTCGTAAGTTCACATTGGTGATGGATCCAATTCTGTTATGAGTTCATTTAGAGTTGCTCTTCGACCATCCGTTATTTTCGGCGCTGGAGACCCTGCTCTGTCATTAAAAATGGTGATTGACCAAAACTTCGAAGTGGAGGTTAACTAGTTAT